GTCGGTAATCACTGAATAACCTTGTACTTATCTGCATTTCCTTGCCTAGCCTGCCAAGATGGTAGACCGCCTCACCAGGACTGGGTTTTTACATGAGCAAGAATAAATTTTTATTTCAGGGGCTTATTTCTTCCCCCAACATAACCTAGTATTATCCTGATTGATAAATCAGGAACTTTCTCTTGGTTTATAAATTTCCATTCAGAGAAATGAATTACAAATATGGAGGTTGTCTCTTGGGAAAAACCTCCATATTTGGATCTTATTTGTTTCCTTGAGCTTGAACTACCTAAAACAATAACTATGCTTTACATAAAAATTATGAGAATGAGAATTAAAAAATGAAAGTTTAAAACACGTAAGTAGTATCTATTAACTGGGATCTTGTAGTACTTTATTTTTTTTATTATATTATGTTAGTCACCATACAGTACATCATTAGTTTTTGATGTAGTGTTCCATGATCCATTGTTTGCGTATAACACCCAGTGCTCCATGCAATATGTGCCCTCCTTAATACCCATCACCAGGCTAACCCATCCCCCCACCTCTCTCCCCTCTAAAACCCTCCGTTTGTTTCTTGGTGGGATCTTGTACTTCAGAAATAGTATTTATGGTTCTTAGTGAATCACAAGTTTGGAATGATTTCATCCATCATAATATTCTTGGTATCTTGTTGGTAAATATGGAAAATCCAGGTTGAAATGAGCAACTTTCATAAATCAAGATCTTAGAAATCTTCTGTTTTTTTCTACATTCCTTCAGTTTACATATTCTACAATTCTTTTAGCAGTAGTTTGTGCAATAAAATGGATCTCTTATAGGGTAATTTTCTTTTTTTAAAAAAGATTTATTTATTTTAGAGAGAGAGTGAGTGGGGTGGGAGAGAGGGAGAGAGACAATCTCCAGCAGACTCCCTGCTGAGCAGGAGTCCAAAGCGGGGCTCAGTCCCACAACCCTGAGATCATGACCTGAGCCAAATTTAAGAGTCGGACACTTAACCAACTCAGCCACCCAGGCGCCCCAGGGTAATTTTTTTCTTAAGGTATTTTTCAACAGAATTCTATTTGAGTACTTGAATTCTTATTTTCTTTGTGATAGGCTCTGCACAGATGCATAAGTCTTGTATCTTGTTTTCAGAATTTTCCCATCTACCACAGCTATTCACCAAAATGTGTTTCCTCTCTTTTTTGGTCACATCTTCCCTTGCAGTTATGTGTGTCCTGTGACTGAGTGGAATTCCGGTGGAGTTTCTGAGTGCTAGCCACTTCCAGGGCTAACTCATAAAAGCCCTCCCACGTGTGATTCTCCATTTTCTGCCCCTTTTTGCAGTCTGGTGATCAGTGCCTAAGGCAACCTGGAAGTCATGTGTTTGATGAGGGGAGAGTTTCTGTCAAACGGGTCACCAAATGCCAGCGTAGAGCAGAGCCCCCCCTCCCTCCGCCCAGAAACATTTGTATTGGACTAATGTGTGATTAACAAATAAACTTCTCATGTTCAGCCACTGGAAGTTTGGGGGTTATTTGTTATTGCAAGTAGCATTACCATAAGACAACATTTAATAGCTAATATAGCAATTCCAGAGTAAATATTTAAGTTGTCAAGAATGATTAACTTATGCCTTAATTTGTAACGCGTTCCCCGCAGAAGAAACAACAGCTTCATTTAAAATAGTCTGCAGAGTCTTAGTCTGATTTTCATTATCCCAGATTGTTTGGCGCTTCCCTGAAAGAGCAGCTCTGATTAAGTAGGCCCTCTGTTTATCCTCCTTCCTCCCACACCATTTTATAAGGTCACATTCTGTGTTTACAAATCCAGAGAGCATTTACTCTTATTTATAAGTGCAGTAGGAGAGAGAGAAGGGACACATTTGAAATGTCAACACAAAAGTAGTTTTTATGTGACTGGCTGAGATTCTGGTGGGTCACTTTTCTAAAATGTGTTTGCTGCCTTGAGAAATTTACCAACACGTAAAAGCTACTCTGGGTTCAACCTTCCTCCCAGTGCTGGAGCCAGAAATCTCTTTGTTCTTGACTCATCTCTCCTCACCATTCCCACCCCCTTGAGGTCAGATCAGTCCCCTGAATACATTTTGAATCGGACGCCCACCATGTTCTCACATAGGTCTCTCTTAAGGGTCCCTTGCACACAGCTGTCTCCTAACTGGTCTCCCGAGCTCCAGTCTTAACACTTCCATGACGTAGCCAGAACTCCCTTTCTAAAATGCCGAAGTCAGCAGCTCATGCCTTTACTTCGAAATGCTTCCGTGACTCGCCCTTGCTTTGGGGATAAAGCCTAAACATCTTGAGGTGACTTGCAAGGACCCACATCATCAACCGTTGCTTCTCCTGTCTTGTCTTGCACTGTCTTTCCTTCCCTTTCCCTGCACTGTCTTTTCTGTGCTCTGTGCTCCAGCCTCACTGAACTTCTCTTTAAACACATCTTACTTTTTTTTAAGCCTCTCAGGGTTTGTTCTTGCTGTGACCTCTGTGTCGAACACTGCTCTTTACCCGATTCCTCCTTCACCTGGATAATTCCTACCCAGCCTTGGGTTCTCAATTTAGATTTTACTTCTTGGATTGTCTCTTCCAAACCTTGAGGGCTGGGTTAACTGTGCTCCATTTGTACTCTGATCATCACCCTGCATTTCCTCGGTTCCGGTAGCTCCGGTCCTGTGTTTTCCTGTTTACTTGTCCATATGTCCTGCTGGACTGCCTGGAGGATCTCAGACCATGATCATGTTGGTCACCATCATCCTAAGCCCTTAACACATTGCCTAGCGCAGTAAACACTTGTTGGATAAATGAACAATAGGGTGTACAAGAACCCAATCTTTTTCAGATTTGTCTGTGGAGTACATTTGAGGATGTACTATGGAAGACTAAGTCAGTGCCAGAATAGCTTTCCAAATCTTGGGAAATACTGGGAAATGCTGAAGACCATCTGCAGGAGAAATGATTGAATTCTGGATATATCTTGAAAGTTGAACTAATAGGATTTGCTGATGGGTGTGAATGACTCCATGCTTCTAAATTATATTGCCGTGGTGAAATTGTTCACAGACAGCTAATGTCACAGTCCGGCCAAGGTTATAGTGAGGATTAAATGGCACGCACATAGAGTTCCTATCTAGCCTAGTGCTTGGCATTTTGTCAGTCCTCAGTAAATACTCGTTTTCCTCTCTGTGAGTGATTCAGTATCTTTTTTTTTTTAAGATTTTTATTTATTCATCAGAGACAGAGAGAGAGGCAGAGGGAGAAGCAGGCTCCCCACTGAGCAGGGAGCCCGATGTGGGACTCGATCCCAGGACCCTGGGATCATGACCTGAGCCGAAGGCAGACGCTTAACCATCTGAGCCACCCAGGCGCCCCAGGTATCTTGTTTAGACGAGAAAGCCAATGCACGGTGACGTGCTGTCCCTCCGCAGGGCTGCGCCGCATGTGGGGGTGGCGGCCAGCACCTGCTGCATGTCCACGGTCTTGCCCAGCACTTCAGCAGGCTGTCTTGCCCGGCCTGCCACCGACCCGCTCCTCTGCTGGCTCTCCAGCACCCTCACGTTCAGATTTTGTGACTGTCAGGCCTCATTCTTTGCCTCAAAGTGAAGCTGCTCTTTTATTTTTTTTGCCTGTAGGAATGTGTGTTTTGTGTCCACTTCTGTGAATACTGCTATTTATGAGTGGGCTGTTGTCTCTTCCTATGATCCAGATGTAGGTAACATGGTGCACAGAGTTAAGTGCATTTACTGTCTGGTCATACTGCTGGTTTTGAATCGTGGCACTACTCCCTCAGCCTTTGGAACCTTTGGCAAGTTCCTGAACCCCTCCAGTCCTCATTTCTGCCATATGTAAAATGGGAATTGTGACATGAAAAAGGGTACTTCTTCTAATACATTTGGAACAGGGCCTACCACCTAAGAAGCACCGAGTAACTATTAGCCATCATTAGTCATAACGGGACCTGGCGACCTCAGGTACTCTTATGTAGCTCTCAGTATCACTTCTGGGCTGAAGCTGCATCTCTCCACCCTCTCCTCTCACCTTTTCATCGTGCTTTCCCTCGGGTGTCCCACAGGAACTCAAACTCAGCATTTGAAACTAAGCTTATCAGCTTTTCCCTGTGGCAGGGTGCTTTGGCTACAATTAGTAGAAAACCCAAATAAAAGTAACCTAAACAGCAAGGGAAGTTCTTTCTGTCTTGTAACAAGAAGTCTAGATGTACAATGGATCCAAGGTTGCATAATCCCATTGCTCAGTCATGTCCTCAAGGACTCGGGTCCTTCCCATTCCTTCGGCATTTTGACTTGTCCTCTTAAGCTGGCTCCCCTCACCTTAAGATGAAGATTCAGGCACTATGTGCATATGATAGCCTTCTAAGGGGACTTCCCCCTCATCTTCACTCAGATCAAGGGAACTTTCGTAATCTGATCACTGACAAGGGAACTGGAATTCCCAGTTTTAGTTAGACTAACCAAGATCCATCCTCCTGGAGCTGGGGATAAGATTCCATTCCCTGAGCAAATGACTGGGAGTGGGTTGGCAGGGAAGTGAACTCCTGAGCAGAATCAGAGCTCTGCTGGCCAAGAAAGGGGGTTTGGGGGCTGAATTTGGGTAGAGAATATACCATGTCTGTGGCAGAGTTCGAAATATTTTGTGATGAGAAGGAAAAAGATCTAAAAATGAATTGGGAGTCATGTTGAAGTCAGAAAAACTAGATGTAGTGCGTATTGTAGAAAATCAGGTCAGACTGAGGAGTGGTGCTGGAGCATGGAGGATGGATGTGAGGGCTGGAGCTGTGGCATCCTCCCTGGCTGGACATAGGGACGGGAGAACAGCCTCATTTGGTTTCCAGTTTCTTCTTGGCTAATCAGGTAGCCATTCATGGAGGTGGTGGAGACTAGAGGCCAAGTAAGTTTGATGGACAGGGATTTAAATGAGTTTTTTATTATTATTATTTATTTTTATTTTTAAGCAGGCTCCATGCCCATCATGGAGCCTAACATGGGGTTTGAACTCACAACCCTGAGATCGAGACCTGAGCTGAGATCAAGAGTCACATGCTTAACCAACTGAGCCACCCAGGCACCCCCGATTGCGTTGTTTTAAACAGACTGAGTCTGAGGTGCCTGTGAAACATCATCATGGAAATAGTCCATAGACAGTTGGAAGAAATGTCTGATTTGAAATGTAGATTTCAAAATGCTGCTCTACAGTCCCCAAAGGTTCTGCCCCTTCCCCTCTCTTCCATTCTGATGCAATCTCCCGGTCTCCTTCCAGCCATTCTCATCCTTTCTGCCCATCTTGTTCAGGAGCTGTCTCTCTTCTTAAGGAACCCCTCTGTCTGGGTGAAGCCATTGCTTCTGTCACCATCTGTGTGCCAAGGCTTCAGTGGAATGCTGGGAGTCAGATAACCATCACCCATTAAAGTAAATTTCAGGGGTGCCTGGCTGGCTCAGTCAGAAGAGCATGCGATTCTTGATCTTGGGGTTGTGAGTTCGAGCCCCACATTGGGCGTAGAGATTACTTAAATAAATAAATAAGCTTTAAAAAATTTAATTTCGATTTTACAAAACAAAATAATTTAGTGGATCTACTTTTCAAAAGTTTATAAAAATTATTACAAAAAAACAAAAACATCTCCCAAACCAAAATATTTCCATCCCCAAGCCCAGGAAATCGTGATGTGTAGTCAGAGTTCTTTAAAGTTATATTAAAAGTATAGATTTAATCTGATAGTTCCCCAAAATTATAAACCTGAAAACTAGTGATCTGAAATACTCATTTTCTATATGCTCTTTAGACCTCAATTACCTGGGAAAATCCCTTCTCCCATTCTGACCCAGGATGCCCAACTGCCAACATACCTTTACCAAAACGAGAACTCTGAACTTCATATCTTTATATCCTGCCTTCTGCTCTTCTTGCCAACAGCTCCCCAGCCCTTCCTCTTCAGCCCCATGTCTGCTCTCTGGGCTCTTTTCTGTCCAGCTTCCTTGCCCTTCAGATGTAATGTGCATCACGCTGGTCCCTACTGGTGACTACGTTTACAGTTCTGCCACTTTTCTGAAGTGTTTGTAAACACCTTCAGCCACGTCCGTCTCCTGGCTGTTTCCTGGTCATACCTCTCCACTCATCTGCACACCACTGGCCTTGCTTTGTCCCGCCTGTCCTGCATCAGCCTCAGCCTCTCCTTAGTGCATTCCCAATGCTGCTAGGTCAAGAGGAAGCATTAACTAGTTTCGGCCTGCCTCTGGGGCAGCTTGACCACTGTGAATTTATTTTGCAAATACTACATAGATATTAGTTTACCTGACAATTACAATTACAATTACTTCTATTAAAATAATATGAAGAGTTGGGGCTCCTGGCTGGCTCAGTCGAAGAGCATGCGACTCTTGATCTCGGGGTTGTGTGTTCAAGCTCTATGTTGGGTGTGGAGATTACTTAAAATATATATATATACATTAGAAGAGATAACATGAAAGGTCTACCCCAATATTAATGGTTGTTATACTGCCTAGCACAGAAACACAGCATGAATGCCTCTTGTTTTAAAAACAGCCCTAGAGGGGCAGCTGGGTGGCTCAGTCGTTAGGCGTCTGCCTTCGGCTCCGGTTGTGATCCCGGGGTCCTGGGATCGAGCCCCGCATCGGGCTCCCTGCTCGGTGGGGAGCCTGCTTCTCCCTCTCCCACTCCCCCTGCTTGTGTTCCTTCTCTCGCTTTGTCTCTCTCTGTCAAATAAATAAATAAAAAATCTTTAAAAAAAAAAAAAAAAAACAGCCCTAGAAGGGGCACCTGGGTAGCTCAGTCTGTTAAGCGTCTGACTCTTGGTTTTGGCTCAGGTCATGATTTCAGGGTTGTGAGATTGAGCCCCACATCAGCGTCCATGCTCAGCAGGGAGTCTGCTTGGGATTCTCTCTCTCCCTCTCCCCTCACCCCCGCACGTGTGTCCTCTTTGTCTTTCTCTCTCTCAAATAAACTTTAAAAATAAAAATAAATAAATAAATACAAACAGCCCTAAAAAGTATGGAGAAGCAGGCACTCTCATTGAGGGGCAATTTAGAAATGTTTCAGAATCCACCCTAAATATACATATGTGCATGTGTATGTATATACATGTATGTGCACACATTTGCATATATATGTGTATGAGGTATAACATTTACATATATCTAATTTCTCAGGGTATGTAGGATATTGATAGCATTGGTTATAGTTAGAGGAAGGCACTGGAGGTTGTGGGATAGGGTGTGAAGGAAACTTCCACTGCCTTCCTTTGTGTGCCTTTTGAATTGTGATGATTGATGGATTACTTACTTGAATTTTTTTTTTCAACATACTATTCTATGCCCAGCAACTTTACTTCAGGGAATTTCCCCTAGAGAAATATTTGTATATGTGTTAGCAAACTTGTGTGTAAGATGATGTTAACGACAACGTGTTTATAGTAACGAGGGTAACAACAAAGCTAGGAGCAACCTAAAAGTTCATCAGTAGGAGTGGACCCTCAGTTATGACATATGTGTACTGTGGTTTAGAAAAATGAGGTATGCAGATATGCTAACATGGAAAGACTGCCGAATTAGGATAGGATGAGTTAGGCTTCAGTCACAAACAACCCCCAGGTCTCAGCAGCTTAATGTAACAAGGGCTTATGTGTCACTCACATAAAATCTGTGGATCCAGGAGACTCTGCGGGTAGCCAGTGAGCACCCAGGCTGCTTTCACCTTGTGGCTCTGCCATCTCGAACAGAGCTTCCTCGGGCCCCAGGGCAGTGTGCACACCGGCTCTTCTGTGCTTTGGCTCAGGAGCATGGACGTCCCACAGCTATTGGCCAGAACTAATAATGCGGCCCTGCCTAACCACAAGAAGGGGTTGAAATGGGGAAGAAGAGATGGAATGTTTGGGGACAGAACTGTGTCTTTGCCATATACAAACAACGGAGTACAGGCACATAAAGTTTCCTGGAAGGATATAGAAGAGTGATTGGTTAACAATAGAAACCTTTGGAGAGTAGGATGAAGGCTTTTACCCCGTTTGAATATTTTTACCATTATTAACCTGCCTTTAACATTATAGTTTATAGTAGAATTCATGTGCATTAACTTTTGTGGGGTTTTTTTTTTCAATCTGGTTTAGACTGACTCTGAAGTCTTTCATGAAAAGAAAAATTCAATTTTGAGGAATCTGTACAATTGTTAGCTTACTTTAAGTGAAATTATTTTGTAGCTCTCCTATGTGAATGGATATATAACATGTATACAACAGGGAGAATTGCAAAATCCACCTATATTTGTCCTTCCTTATGTTATTTTGTTAGGCCTTGCATGTGGCCAGTGTTGTAAAATGGGAAATGCCATTCACCATTTACTGTGCACCGCTCCTTTCCTGAATACGCTGGAGCTAAAGGGCAGGCAAAGTAATTCATTCATAGCGAGCAAGGAACTGACTAGCGTTGCCTTGGAAAGCCAAACACCCAGTGAGCTATAAAAATGCAGTAACAGATAACATAATACTTACTCTTAAGAGAAATATTTAAAAAGTGTATTAGTCTCTTCAGGCATTCAAAATAGGAAGGTTCGCTTTTACAGGTTAATGCACTCTTTCTCCAAAGCCAGATGTTCTCATTTACAAATCGGGTATAAAATATACATTTAAACTAATTGAACAAGTAAACAGCATATAACACTTTAGGTGTGGTAGCGTAAGATTACTTTTATAATCATGCTCTCCCATCTCTCATCAAATCCTCGGAGAACAATTTAATCCCTGAAGTTATATATGGTCCGAAAAGAGCGATGTGGTTTGAGCTCTTGTGTCTCAGGGAGTCTCTGAAACCCAGAGAGCACGCAGCCTCCCAAATAGCTCTTCCAGGACCAGGTCCAAGGCCAGTGCTTCTGTGGACCAGCCCAGCTCCAACCTTGGTGTCCTGATGGGCTGCCTTGACCAGGGTTAGACTCTGCTGTCTATGTCAGCTTTCAAGTTCGTACTTTTTCTTTCAAAGAATTCTTTCAGTTTTGAGGTTATCTCTTTATGCTATATGTGTAAAGATGACCTCATTTTGATGGTCTTATTGCTTTATTGGTCATCTCTGCCAGTAACACACCTCATCATCAGTTTTGGCTCCAAAACCAGACTCAGTATGTGAGAGATTCATACCTTGGAGCCCACCCTAGTTTGAGCTCTTTTGGTCTGCATTTCTCTGGACCTGCCTTCACCATGATACTCAGTTCACTGTGACTACTACATTCAGAAAAGATGTGTCTTTTCCAAATAAAAAAGGCTGTGAAGGTTGTTTTGCCAAGGATTAGGGATTAAATTAAATTGGATTAAACATAAGTAATACAAATTTTATTTTCCTAGTGTAGCTAATAGTGCTAAACTACAAATTTAAAACAGGCCTTATTAAAAATTTAAATGACTGTAAACCTAACAGGTAATGAAAATCAGTGCTTACACTTTCTGAGGTTTTTATGTCCTTCTCCATTAGAGTTGCTAAACTATCATCCTGAAGGATTATACATTGTAACATGCTCCACTGTGCATGACTAATATCCAGCTTCTGTCACACACAACCTCACCATGAGAATTTAACAGCATCCAGAATGGTCTTTACTCTGTCGAACAAGATGAGTTCACTGATCTCCCTCTTGGCTGTCACCGTAATGTCAAATTGCCATAAAAGTTTCTAAACATTCTCTATTTCTGTACTTCCCACAGACTAAGCAACCAACAATGTGCAGACTGGAGCACTTGGAATAACAGTGTTTGGTTTTTTATAAAGAAATAGAGGGACAGTTGAAATATTAAATATTAAATAGCAGTAACAAATTAAACAGTTTAAAAGGGTAATAGTGGAGATGCCCCAGTGTGGCATGCGATTAATTGCTAAATTGTAGAGACAGCAATCAGCCTCTACCTCCAGTGGAGGGAAAGAGATCCTACAGGCTAGAGATGCCATGGAGAGCATTATGGAGATGGTGGGACTTGAAATACTTCCTAAAAGATGTTAAGATGTTTGAAAATAGAAATTGGATCGATTTTATTTTATGAGTAACTGTAGTATCATGATTAACTAGTTGATGAATTGTTCTGTAAGCCAAAAGTAAACATTAGTCAGACTGATTAGTAATGTATAAATACTGATTTTACCAGATAAATCTTAATGTCAGCCTTTAAATGCCAAGGGTACTTCCTTGTTGGTGCTCTTTTTTTAAAAATTAAATTAAAAAGAAAAGCCTTTGTTCTTTGAATTGTAACAGATTTCTTCCCGACTACTGTGTTTCAGCCTGCTTCTTTGTGAGTAGCAATACTCAGGAAGGTTCCTTTAAAGAGCTCTGTTTTGCAGATGTTGTTTTGTAACATGGGTTTAATCCTCGCCAGCTCAGTCTTTTTTATTTATCCTGCATGCAGTTGGTATTGCATCACTTCCTTTGCAAGAGAATTGACTACGGGATCTTAGGGCAGGGTAGGTTTTTTTTTTTTTTCATTGTTTTGCACAAAGCCCATTACCTATTTATAGTATCAGAACTTTCTATTAGTCATCACCAGAAATTATTATTACACCTGTCAACTGGTTTTGTAGTGAGTTGTATACAAATGACAGATGAATATGTGTATGTACTTCCCCCTAAACCAGTTTTATTATCTTTAAACATGAGTCCCGATTAAAAATTGGATAATATCCCTTAAAAATCCACTCTCTCTAGCTTCTCTTGAAAAATGAAAAAAAAAAAAAAAAAAGTTCTGGCACTCGGTACACGTTTCAAAATAGGGACCATCTATAAGAGCAACAGCTGCTCCCTTCTACAGGGCACGCACTGGTCCAGCGCCCTCTGGGTCCTATAGAGTTCATTTCTGCTTCACTTACATGTTTTGCCTGCCTGGCTTCCGTAGACAGCTTCGTTTGATTATGGGACTAGTATGTAAGAGCCCAAACACGCCAGAACAAAACCTTCAGCTTTACCAGTGCCATCAGCTACCTTCCCTAACTCGAATTATGTACCATTTGAAAAACAATATGATACACAGTTGACCCTTGAGCAACACGAGGGTTAGGGCACTGATTTCCCACATAATTGAAAATCCAGATATAACTTTGACTTCCCCAAAACTTAACTACTGATAGTCTGCTGTTGATCAGAAGTCTTACTGATAATATAGACAGTCAATTAATACATATTTTGCATGCTATATGTATTTTATACTGTAAAGTAAGCTAGAAGAAAATGTTAAGAAAATCAGAAAATACATTTACAGTGCTGTACTGTAAAAAATCTGTGTAAGTGGACCGGCATAGTTCAAGCCTGTGTGTTCGAGGGTCAGCATCTTAGAAAAGTAAGTTATTATAATCTGTATAAATAAAGTATTAGTGGGCGCCTGGGTGGCTCAGTTGGTTAAGCGACTGCCTTCGGCTCAGGTCATGATCCTGGAGTCCCTGGATCGAGTCCCGCATCGGGCTCCCCGCTCGGCAGGGAGTCTGCTTCTCCCTCTGACCCTCCCCCCCTCTCATGTGCTCTCTCTCTCATTCTCTCTGTCAAATAAATAAATAAAATCTTTAAAAAATAATAATAATAAAAAAAATAAAGTATTAGTATGTGTATATATATTTGCATGCATATACATACATACATATTTTAGAATAAGACAAATATGAAAACATGTTAGCAATCCAAGAGAAAGATATTTGGAAGTTTTTTAATGCTCTTAAGTTTGCAATTATTTCAGTATGAAAATTATTTTTAAAAGTCAGAGCTAACAGCCACAGATTGTCAACAGTGAGAAAGATGTTTCTTCCCTAAGTGATTAATCTTTTAGTCAGAATTTGAGGAAAGGAAACATTTAAGGCCAATCTAATTGATACCATGTCTTACAAGTTATTTTCCAGCAAAAAAAAAAATTTTTTCTTCTAGTTGATATTAAGGACAAAACTTGGAAGAAGTATTTTTGTATGCATTAATAACCAAAACAATTTTTTCTGCATCCAATTTTAGCAGCCTGACATAAGAACGCATTCAAAGCATAAATAAAGGCATTGCCTCCCTATATCTAAGGAAGGACCTTATTAGCAAAGTGTACACATATTTTGCTGATGTGCAGGCGCCCACATATTAGATATTTTAAATAAGCAATAGATCCGAGCTGTTTGTTCATTTGTGGTGGTGGATTTGTGCCAATTTAGCCCCATGCTTTGGTCTAATCGCTGGTATGTGTCTTCTAGAAGGCCGGTCAGGATAAAAGCTGTAGTCAACAGAGCCACAACAGAGGATGAAGGTAAATAGTCAACCACAAAACCCATTCTCCTTCTATTCCCAAATAAAGTGAAACTATTTGGCCTAGATTTGGCCAGTGGAAGCCCCTTTCAGCTGGCCGCAGTGTCTTCCAATATGTCCCTGTCAGTCTTTAAGAACTTCCTTATTTTCTGGCTCAGTAAGAGTCCAGGCTCATCTTGTGTTTTTCCTGTCCCAGTGATGAAATTGGCCATTTCTCTAAAAACCATTGGTTTAGTCTTGGTGTGGCATTTAGAAATCAAGATTGGGGGGCGCCTGGGTGGCTCAGTCAGTTAAGCTCAGGTTATGCCTTCAGCTCAGGTTATGATCCCAGGGTCTTGGGATCCAGCCCCTCACCGGGCTCCTTGCTCAGCAGGGAGCCTGCTTCTCCCTCTCCTCCCTGCTCATGCTCTCTCTTGCTCTCTCTCAAATAAGTAAATAAACTCTTTAAAAAGAAAAAAGAGAAAGAAATCAAGATTGGTAGTAGATACAGTTGTTGCTACTGGTGTGTCATTGCTTTTAGCCTTTCTCAGAAAACGGTTTGGTGGGTGGTGAAGGGGGGGAGACACACACACAAATGTACATAGGTCTTTTTGTTTCTTTGTCTTAAACACCATGATTTCATACCAGTATCTCCCATTTCTGTCCAACACCACGGGGTTTATTTTAGCCTTCTCCTTTGAAATTTGTGAGTTCCTTCTGCAGTTCTGATAAACCTGGCTCCCTTCATCCTCATCATTTTACTTACATTCTTGGTCCTCCTGAATGTCCCCACCATGCGGGCCACCTCCTCCACCCCTACCCTGCCGGACATCCTGGCTGCACCAGCAGAATCTTTACCCTGGGCTCCTCGTGTGTGCACAGACTGAGCCAACTGAATCCTCAGCCCTGGCTCTGCCAAATACACTGGCCACGCTGGCCAAACCCTTGACTTTTTAAACTTAGTAGACGGATTATAAGCAAAAACTTGAGACAAAGTATTTCCTGAAATTATAAAATCAGAATATTAATTTTTTTTCATTATTCAGTCACAAAGTTGAGTTTCAATCCTTATTCACAGAGGGCAGTGGAACTTAAAATTTAAGTAAAGCTCTGGAAATAATGCTATTGATAAGTCAGCTGACCTTTTCTTTTACTTTTTGAGATGTAATATTAACAGACATTTAGGGAAACGGTTTCCTGAGCAAGGTTGGGCTGGAGGACAGCTGCTTTCTGGGGGTCGCTAAAGCTTTTCTCACCATCCTGGGAAGTTCTGATTTCAATCCTGGTTGCAGTGACACTTAAAAAATAAGTATGATGGTATTTGTCTTAAATTGTCAACCAATCTATCTGCATAAATTCCTTTCTCAGTTTGATCTAGCAATAAAAATGATTTAATTTCTGCTTTAGGAACTAAGAAAAAATAGGGAAAATTATTTGTTTTTTCCATTTCCTGATGTGTTTGATCTGTTTTTAGTTTTTGACTCTTTTCTTTGCCACCACATTCTTCTTCTCTTAGTTCACTTCCTCATGTCTGGTATTCCTGAGTGTAGACAGCGCTCGGTTATTTTCAAGAGTGCAGAAGGACTGACTGGATAAAGCAGAGTAGCAGAATATCTGTATCATGTTTGTCTTTGGAATGTGTTGATTTTTTATAATTGAATATGAGTCCGTTTAATACTTGGAGGTTTTTATCATTCACTTCTTCATGATTCCAGGTCCCTCCTCCCTTAGCAAAAATTCCTCTGGATGCCACAGCAGTGTACTAGGAATAAGTAAAAATAAATTTGAAAGAAATCTGGCTCATGGTCTCTTAGGAGACTTGATTACAATATGGGGATAAAGCTGTAAAATGCAACGTCTCCTGTGTCATGTGACAGTGGAAACCCCTTGCAGAGTGGTAATAGTGGATGTTGTTTGCCTTTTATATCTTCTTTAAATCCCTCCAAATTCAGCTCCCTTGTCCTTACCATAATAACTCCATCCCGGAACCAACAGCCATTATTGAGGGGCCCCGGGGAGCAGCTTTGGTAACAGTTCTTGGCACAATAAATATTAGTTTACTGTGCCTTTGTTTTCTGAACTGAAAACAGGTGTCACAGTAGCCAAAATGGAAATAATCCATTTGCTTGACTACTTAACCATTTATTTCTCTTCAGTGTCTCCTGCCACAGCTACTGCCCAGCTTGGACCCTAAAGCTCCCTATCTGGTTGCCCCAAGTCTCAATAACACCTAGGAAAACCTTGCTTTAACTATATCAGAACCTTCACATGTTAGGAAAATTGGCGTAAGGAATTACAGTTTTTAACAAGGGATCTAGCCAACTGATTAGGTTTTCTGTCACTTACTAAATTAGGCAGAGGGACAGGGGGGAACCTATTAGGTTTCCTGTCACCCAGAGAGCCAAATATTTAAGTATAGTGTAAGGTGAAGAGGCTTCCTATCCAAGGGTTAGGATGGGGTAAGAATCCTAAAGGCATCCTGTTTAGTTACAGTCCTCAGACATCTGTGAAATGATTTACTTACTTATTTTTAAAAGAGAGTTCAGTACTGTGGTATAAGTGGTTTGTAGTATTTAAAATGCATAATTGTTATCACTTCATGTAATTGTGCATTTCTACCAAAGGATTGTCTGGCTCAGGCCTAGGTCTTGTTCATTTTCCTGAGCAGTGCTGATTTATAACTAGGCTCACCCCTTGGTTAAGGCAGAATGCACTTAACCACTTTGCTAGGCATGCCAGGGAGCCAAATCGCTAATATAATAGGAAATCTTTTTTTTTTTTTTAAGATTGTATGTATTTATTTTGAGAGAGAGAGAGAGAGAAAGAGCATGAGCAGAGGCAAAGGGAGAAAGAATCTCAAGCAGACTCCATGCTGAGCGTGGAGCCGGTTGCAGAGCCCAGTCCCACAACCGTGAGATCATGACCCGAAATCAGGAGTCAGACGCCTAACCCACTCAGCCAGCCAGGTGCCCCAATAGGAAATCATTTTTAAGTGAAACGGATGAAAAGGAATATATATATAAAAGTTGAGCCTTATGTTGGAGAAATTGTGTTTATCACTTGTAGGTTGGAAGAGAAAATACAGTGTCGTGTTATTAATAGGAGAAGTTTCATTCTTATATTTTGGTCTAGATCTTCGTGTCTGTCATCGTTAGACACTCAGCATTTCATAACTAAATAACGCTATATTTATTGTTTGTGTGTGTTTTACTAATTTTAAATGCATGTATTTAAATATCCATCTGTTAGTCTGACGCTCTGTAGTTCCTAAGGACTCTTACAATCACTGAGAGTGATTTTACTGTAGTCCAGTTCACCAATCTCTATATTTCCTCTATTAGGATTTTAGCTAAATCAATCAGTCAAATTTTAAATAATTAAAAAGACTATTTAAAAGCTATAGGGTGGCAAATGGAAACCAAGACAGATAATTTGCTTTCCCTGGTGTGGGTTTGGTAAGCTTATAAACCTTTTTTGATCTCAGGAAAAGAACAACTTTCCTTGCAAGGACAAAACGAAGCCATTTCAAGATTCATTCTCAACAGTGTAAAGTTACAGGTGCCTTCACCTAACTGTGACTCTCTGCCCAGCGTGGGCATGTCCTGACATCAGCCTTGTAGAGACTCTCCTGTCAAAGTGACTGGTTGACTGAGCACCCTGTGAGTGACCAACATCCTTCTCACCACACTGAGAGAGTCTCAAGTTGAATCCTTTTCAGACACCCCGCAGAAGACAAACGAACAAAAACTGAAAAGCAGTCCATTCCCAGATGTCAGCCCAGCTGCTATATTTGTGGGCATGATTTGCTATGCCATGTCTGACAGATTATTTTTTACATCCTCGCTACTTATCATGTTTTCATTGAGATATACTATAAAATGTTGTTTCCTTTTGCTGGGGGAATGAACAGTGGTCTTTGGTGAAAAATGTCTTTTATGGTCAAGAATTTAGACCATGTACTGAGAAGGAGCCATCGTATTGGTAGTAGTATTGTCTTAACCACATTGCCTGGGACCTCAGTAGATAGCCTTTCGGAGGGGACAGTGTTGTGTTTGTTTCTGCTATTTCCTTATACCAGCAAGGTAGAATTGCTGAGTCACTTGACATGATCAAATTCAGGTAATACATAATTTAAATAAAACCCAGATATCTCGGGCGCCTGGGTGGCTCAGTTGGTTAAGCGACTGCCTTCGGCTCAGGTCATGATCCTGGAGTCCCGGGATAGAGTCCTGCATCGGGCTCCCTGCTCAGCAGGGAGTCTGCTTCTCCCTCTGACCCTCCTCCCTCTCATGCTCTCTGTATCTCATTCTCCGTCTCAAATAAATAAATAAAATCTTTAAAAAACAAAAAACCCGGATATCTCTTGTCTCTTTCTGGGCCACAGAGCAGGTCCCCCCCCCCCCCCCCCCATAGCATGTGCCCTTGGTGACAGGTAGGATTTTTGGCCGCCCTCCCTGTGCTCTGGGTACTCTGTGTCTGCCATCCTGTGCATTGTTTCCTTTGTGTCCAAAGGGTCAGGCGTAGTTAGCTTAGGAGAGAAAGAAGAGTAAGCAGCATTTTCCCTTGGCTCTCCCTCAGGAATCTCAGACCCAACACAGCCTGTGTGGCTCACCATCACCTCCCGAAATTGTGCTCTTCCCCTACTGTCCCAGCTCCGTATGATAAGCAGCACTGTGGTCAGCTTGACCCCTCCGTCTTTCCCACATCTCACATCTGGGAAGTCACCCTATCCAATCAGTGCCGCTTCTGTTCTCAAAGCCTCTCCCTGCTCTACCTCCCCACTGCTCTACCCCAGCCAGAGCCCCGGCGGGCCCTTCCCAGGACCCAGGTGGTGGCCTCCTCACTGCTCCCCTGCCAGGCACTCTGTCCTCTGCAGCCTGCAGTCATGGGAGCTTGCAAAAGGCCGATGTGGTCAGCACTTAAACTCTGCCCTTGAGATAACGTGCAAGACCCCGTGACACTGCACGCCTCACACACCCGCCTCTCCCCGCGCAGCCCTCACGCTCCTCTTGCTGTTTTTGCTGTGATGTAGTCCTGTGTCCTGCCCTCGTCCCTCCCTCCACCTGTGCACGGCACATTCTGTTGCCTCTTCCTGGAGCCCGTTCAGTGTCTGTCCTTCTCATTACCCTGAATTAGGGGGGAGACGGGTCTGCCTGCTTGGAACGTGGGTGCTGATAACTGAACAGCATGAATGAACAAGTGACTACAAATAAAACTGAAGACAGCAATAAGAACTTTTAAAGTTAATGTTTCTCTACAAGGCATGTCTTACTATATAATAGAAATGTGTTTTGAAAAAGCAGGCATTCTCTAAAAATGTATATATCAAATTCATCTTGCAATGAAAAAAAAAAAGGAAAGAAAAAGGTAAAATAATTCAGCCAGGCATCTCCTGACCACACTTGCTGGTTAACTACCCTTTGTGCTGCTCACGTGAGGAGAGGTGGCTCTGGAAAAGAAAACCGAGAGATGAACGCAGGGAGCCGGTCAGACCACTGCCAGGGGCCCTCATGAGTTTCCTGTGTCCTGTGGAAAGCCTGACAATTGTTATGGAAGGTTTTCTGACTTCAGAGGGTCCCTGTGAACTACTAGGAGGATCCCTTCTGGACACGACGCCAAGCTGGATGGTGATCCAGTAGGCTAACAGAAGTGACCGTCACTGTGAGGGTAGACCCAGCACAGCGCAGATGCGGTGCACAGGACAAGGGGACCCAAGGGGAGGAAAGCCGTGTCCTGCCGTTCGGACGGCTGGCGGTATTGCTCATAATAAAAGAGGACTTCACGTCATTGTACGCTCACCGCGTGCCAATAGTGTGCGAGTTGTTCCCATGAGCGGAGCGTCTCATCCCGTGGAACACTCCTGGGAGCTAGGTGCCAGTGTCACCCTGCTACACTGGTAGGCTCTGGTCTCCTCAGATGTTCTCTTTGGAGCCTTTGGTATGTTAATAAAAAGGCAAAATAAAGCATCCTATTCTAGGTGCTCTTAAGGCAGTATAAGTCAAGAAGTGCCTAGATTTATCTATGGAGAGGGTATGATCACATAAATAGTTCAGGTGTCAAGAAATTTAATTTTTGGATGTCTTCTTTGAACCCTCCTGCTCCTAAAACTGGGTTAGGTATCCTGTTTCTGAGCTTCCATAGCATCCTTTCTATCTTTGTTATTGCCCTAAATCTTTTCTGAAGCAATATGATGGGGGGATGGCGCATGCATATGCATGCACGCGCACATGTGAGCAAGAGAGAAAGAGAATGGGAGCCAGAGGGAAATGACAATTTTTTTTAAAATGTGTCATTTTTAGGGGCACCTAGGTGGCTCTGTCATTTAAGCAACTGCCTTTGGCTCAGGTCAGGATCTTGGGATCCTGGGTCGAGCCCCACGTTGGGCTCCCTGCTCTGAGGGGAGTCTGCTTCTCCCTCTGCCCCTCCCCCCAATTCATGTTTGCTCTTGCTTTCTCACGAATAAAAAGTTTTGTTTTTTTTTTTTAGATTTTATTTTTATTTTTTTTGACAGAGAGATATAGCGAGAGCAGGAACACAAGCAGGGGGAGCGGGACAGGGAGAAGCAGGCTTCCCGCAGAGCAGGGAGCCCGATGTGGGACTCGATCCCAGGACCCTGGGATCATGACCTGAGCCGAAGGCAGACGCTTAACGACTGAGCCACCCAGGCGCCCACGAATAAAAAGTTTTTAAGAAAAATAAAAATTAAAAATTAAAAAAATATGTCATTTTTAAATCCTCTGTCATTGTGCGTACTAGCATGGCATTGTCTCTGTCTTTGGTACAATAATACCATCCTTATTCTTTGTAACTCAGGCTCTTGGCACAGTGCCTGGCATAAGGCACTTATTAGTTACTCAGATGTTTATGAACACACACAATCAGTAACTAGCAGAGCCAGGATTCAAACCTGGGGCTCCAGGGCTGTGTGGCTCTCACATTCATAATCTCTCTAACAAATAGTCCCTGCCCACTTCAGAAACGTGCAGTCTCACAAAGGGGAGTAGATGAATTGATTCCATCATGCGGAGACCATGATTTTGCCAGGAGAAGCTGCAGTAAGATGTCTTCACCCTTGGGAGAAATTCTCATCTAAGAACTGGGGAAGGTGACCTGAACATATTGAAAGTTGGCAGTAAGCTAATGAGCATTGCATAAGTTTGGTACATCAATAAAGAAAAGGGTCAAAGTTTGGTGTACTTTGAAATTAAAACTGCATTATAAGCTGTCCTTCCGATATGGGCCAGCGTCGTTGCTTTAAAAATCCACACCCAGCAAACAAACTGTAGGTGGAAGTACGAATTGCTACAGCAGTCTCTCTTGAGAAGAATTTGGCAAAAATTCACTAATTTAAATTGTACGTATCCTTTGACCTGGCAACTTCAGTTCTAGAAATGTGTTCTACAGGAATATGTACACATATGCACAAAGAAATAGATGCCATTGTATTTACAGTTGCATTGTTCATAGTAGAAAAGATTAGTAACAGCCTAAAAGTCCAATAGGGACTAGTTAAGTATGTTATTGTATATTCATCCATGAAATGAAATACTATGCAGGCATAAAAATGAGGCTTTTCTCTATTTACTTACATGAAACTATCACCAAGATACATATTTTAATTAGAGAAAAAAAGTCATTCATGTAAAAAAGACTATGTATATGTGTGTGTATGCATAACCTCTTTCTAGAAAAATTCACAGAAATCTAGTAGCAGTGGCTATCTCTGGCAGGGGAGACTGTGGGAAAATGGGAAAAATGAGAAGCACTTTCCACTATCTGATCATTTATATCTTCTGAATCTTTTACTAAGAGCCTGTATTGCCTATTCAAAATAAAAACCTGGGGTGCCTAGGTGGGTCAGTTGGTTAAGCATCCAACTCTGATTTCAGCTCAGGTCACGATCTCAGGGTCCTGGGATCGAGCCTCACCTCAGGCTCCATACTCAGTGTGGAGTCTGCTTGAGATTCACTCTCCCTCTCCCTCTGCCCCTCCTGCTCATGCTCTCTCTCTCTTAAAAAAACAAACCTTTTTTAAAAAATCTGATCAGAGAGCCAGTTCCCGAAACTCCTGAACTAACTCAAAAACCTCATTCTTAAGATTCTGTCCCTCTACAACCACTCTTGGTACAAAATCTGTATTAGTCCAGCTCCAGAGATAAAGAACCAGTAGGATACATGTGTGTCTATATACATACATATAGAGAGATTTTTTTGGCCCACACAGTTACGGAAGCTGAGAAGTCCCAACGCTGCAGCTGGCAGGCTGGAGTCCCAGGAGAGCCAGTGGTGCAAGTTCTAGTCTGAGCCTTGGGTATGAAGGCAGGAGAAGACCTGTGTCCCAGCTCAGAGACAGTGAGGCTGAGAGACAAAGCATTGTTTCTGAGTCACCCTTTTATTCTAATCAGGCCTTCTGGATTGGATGAAGCCCACCCACACTGGGGAGGGCACTCTGCTCTGCTCAGTCCACTGATTCTAATGTTACTCTCATCCAGCAACGCCCGCACAGACACCCCAGGATACTGTTTGACCGAATGTCTGGGCGCCTCACATAAAATTAACGATATAGGTACACATGTCAGTTTGCATCAGTAGTGGTGACAATAACTTTGAGCACCTGGTTTAGGTGGTCACAGCGTTTCTCTCCTGTAAAATTAGTTGTCTTTCCCTTTGTAATT